ACATTGCCACCATGGACTGTAGGAGTGAAGCAGAGCAACATAAACCTGGCTGTTTTCCTCTCTCAGCCTGGACTGGCAGGGGCAATCCCAGCCACTCGCTTCACAGGGCAGGTCCTGTCTGTGAACATCCCTGCTTGGCATGCACAGACCCTTCAACTGCTTCCCCTTGCAGGATGCCTGGTCTCACACACTGACTCCATGGTAAAGCGAGGGCCAACCCAACCCTAATCCTAACCCTGCACAAAGGTCTATAATCAATCCTTACCACTCAGCTTCTTACCAGAGGACATGAGCAGTCTGTGCAGTCTCAGCTAATTCATCATAATGGAGTTAACCCAAGGATGCTATTAAACACCCTGTGTGGCAGAGTATGAGAAATTACAGGTGGAAGTAATAATTTAACCACAAAACACCACACTTGCAAGTCATCATCAGTACAAGCAGTTCTTCCCGTGAGAGTGGAAACAGGCAAATTTGCCACATCCTGTGCCGACAGGTGGAGCCCCAGAAGGACACAGAGTGGGGAGAGCATTAGGGAACAAAGCTCCTATCTCTGCTGGTCCTGCAATTAGTAGGAGATTTCAAAACTAGTAACAAGCAGCTATCGGGGAGGCCCAAAGAACACTGGGATGGGACTAGGTACTTCTCTGTTCTGGATGGGCCTTGAAGGGGAGAGGATGAAGATCTGCCAATGAAATGCATAACTTATCCCTTACAATCAAGGCAAGAGGACCTTAGAGAACAAAAAAATCAAGGTGTCAATATCACTTTCCCTTCCCATTTATCTCCTACACAGTTCAAGTCTTCATCTCTTTCTCAGAGTGCCTGGCTCAGTCAGAGCTCTCTATCCCAAAGACAATCCTATACCTCATACAGTTTGGTTTTTTTAATTTTAATTTTGCTGTCCAAGAAACAAATGAAAAAGCAGCTGATGAGCTTGATCAGATCTGGAGAAGGCTTGAGGATCCAACATCCCATCTCCATCCTTCACTCCGAGAGCAAGAATACTACCCAACATAAAAAGCAAGGGAAGAAAAGGGAACAAAAGGATTTTTAATGTAATCAAATGTGTCATATGTCTAAAAAGTATTCTGCTATGTCATATACATGCATACACAGATCGCTTTGTATGTGTTTATTGCTTCTTGTCTGTCTCCAGAACAAACACTGCAATTTTACTCTCCCATAACTGTTTCTTGGCTCCTTTTACACATTCCAGTACAGCAGCATCACAGATTCACTATAGGAAGGACTTAGTCCCTCAGCTGATGTAGGTCACTGCCAGACCAGCATTATCCTCTTTGTATGAGGACTGGCTCTTTAGGGAAAGGCAGGGTGTAACATCTAGCAAAAGGAAAGGCTTCGCCCTTAGGATATAGGAAATACTATCAGAAAGAACTCTTTTTTCTGGCCAAGATTAAGATCCATACAAGATTCTCCAAGGGTGGGGAATCACCTCCTAATGACAACTCATTAGGTCACCTGGAGGGGTTTTTTATGGTTTATGTGCTTTGGGGTTTTTGTATTCTATTGCAAAAGGAAGTTTACAGTGGAGAGGTTTTTGCTCAGCTACAATTAGAGACGGGCGCAGACCAAAACCTCCTAGTTACAGAATCCCAGATCTTGGAAATGCCCACACTTCCAAGTTCAGAACAAATTTTCCACTACATAAGGACCAGTAATTGGGGTTTTTAACATGTAAATATTAAAACTAACCAGCAACACAAACACAGAGATTGCAGAAGGAACAGCATGTTTCCATACAAACAATGCAACAAAGATTTTTTTAAAGAATCAGCAGCACCCACTGGGATCCTGGGAGCCTGGATTCATGAAGACAGCAAATGTGACACCCCTTTTTTCCTCACCTCAATAACTATCTGCTTGCTGTTTACTTGGTGTTTCAGAAGTACTAAGCCACAAGATCCTGTCTTGTCAATTCTGTCACATTTCATGTGACAGCTGTCCCTCTTCCACATTATGATAACGACTTTGAAATTCATTTGGCATTTCAGCTCCCTTCCTGCTTCTCTCAACAGCTACACAAATGATGTCAACACATACAGAACAATAGCGAATCGTGAGCTGATAAGCACAAAGTGCACAGGAGCCTGTTTTCACAGCGTGATCACCAAAAAGATTTTAATGCACACATTAAAAAAATGTATAGAATCACCATTTCTCATGGAAATAAGGGAGCCAGAATTTATTGCTCTGTTCATGTTGAAGGTCCCAGGTGTTGCTAAGCACTGATGTAGATGGATCTTGCAAAACAGAAAGCTAAGCTAGGCAGACCCGAGCTGTCTCAAAGACAAAACTGAACTGTCCCACATGCGTGTCTCAGTTGTCACAGTCACCAGGGCCATTACCTTCTGCTACACTTGAAGGAAGGAGCAGGACCACAGCCCAGCTCCCCACACCAAATACACATTATGTGACACTTACATACATTTACGCAGCCTAGCTTCCCAAACCAAATACACATTATATGACATTTACACTACAAGCCAAAGTTTCTCAAAGACATACACTACCAAATGAATGCGTAATGATAGCTTATCACAGTCCTATACTTTCTCTACAAATGTAGCTAGGATAAAACACAACACATTGGGTTCTTCAGAGGTTTCTCTTTTCGTACTTACTTCATCTTTTTCAGTGCCTAAGTTGATTCAAATATTTCTCTAACAAAAAGAAAGAAAAAAAAAAGGCACAAATAGAAAGCCAATGTTATTTTTTGTGGTGCAGACATTTAATGTCAGTTTCATATTATGGCAGCTTAAAATCTTGTGAGTACCACCTAAGACACTATCTGAAATAAAACAAAAATTGTGACAAGTCTGTAGCCAAAGAAAAGAATCACTAAGGCAGTAAACTCTGGACACACTATCTTTGGCAGTGGAGATATCCTTGCCTTTCACTGCTTCAGCCTATTCCCAGAGTGCTTTTATAGAGCATTGTTTTAAAATCAAAATGATTCAGTGACCAGATTTATAGCACAAGTGGAAAAATCATGCCAAGGTTTTCTTCAGTCCTGCTCCATAAGCACTGCCTAAAGCCTGCCCTCCCTTTATTTTTTAACTTTTCTTGTTTTTTAACAAGCAGTTTTCTGTCATGAGCACACCTATCTATCAGCCATTAACAGCGATTGGTGGACAGTTAACATGGGCACTCCAAATACCAGGGCCACATCAGCTCGTGTTTCAATTTTACAAGTCTCTAAAATAGGAATAAATGCAACTCAAGTGTGCAAAGAAGCTTTTATATAAATATGAATAAACTAAATTTGAGAGCTTTGAAAATTTGATAGTGCCAGTGAAATCTTGCTACTATGAAGACAACCAGACTTTGCTCCCTTCTGTACTAAATCATTTTGAAATCTGTTTGCTGACTATTTTTATAGTTACTGTAAAAGGGAGAGAACTTCCAAATTCACACTGCCTCAAGTATTTTTTACCACAGAGAATCTTACTGCAATTAGTCTGGTTTGTAATGGAAAACAGATGAAAGGAGAAATTAAATCAAAACCTTGCCTCATATCTAAGGTGTTTTCATGCCATGCATCCCAAGAAGTTTTCCCAAAACCAACAACATTAAATTAAAAGCTCAGATATTTCTACCAGACCCAACAAATGCAGATTAAGCTGAAATTTAAATGGAAAGTGAAAAGATTTTTCCTTCTCCTCACCTGCCAAGTCTTCAAAGTTCAGGGCTCTGTGTTTCTCTTTCAACACCTAGCAGCAGAAACACCTAGGTTTGAGTGGAGAGATTTCCTCCTCACACTGGCATTATTCATTATTTCTGAAGTGTCGACAAATGTCTTCAACACTACACAACGCACACAAACAAGAGTCCCTGCTCCTACGAATTTACAGTCTGAGGTGTTATCTTTGTTCTGTTTTGGTATATCACCACAAATTTCAACAGGGTACCAAGTGAGCCCAATCCACCTTCCACCAGCAATTTTCCACTGCTTTTAATAGGAGCTGGAACAGCACTAGTCAGACTAAGTTATAGAATTAGCTGTTGCAGGAGAGAGCAGAGTTCTTGGCATGTCTGCAAACAGCAAAAAACCTCATTCTCAACAGTTTTGTTTGAAATTAAGTGTATATTTGAATGTTTTCACACATAATACATTTTGAGAACTTAAAGAGCTCCCTTTTCACTCTGTCTTTCAACCCCAGCAGTGCTACAGATCAAGCAGCAGCAGGCAATTTCTGAACCAAGGCAGGCTGGCAGCTACAGTAACAGCTCCAGCTGGTGGAAGTTGGTGAAAGTTTTGGTTTATTTTGTGCTAAGCTTTCTGCCAGGACATTTCACACACTGGAAGTGTGTATTTTCTCTGACATTTCTGAGAGCCTCCAAGTGTTCCTGCAAATAGCCTACAAATTTATTTCAAATTAAAATTGGGGCAGTTTCTGCTTATCCAAACCTTTTATCCATGCCTTTTCCCCAGCTGTACCCTGTGGAAGAGAATGCAGTCACACAGCCCTGTGCACTAACACACACAAAAGGCACATACACCTATTTACACCCAAAAGGCTTTACAAGGATAGCACCAACTGGAGATGTTGCCCTTCTGCCTCGTGCTCTAGCTGGGGAATGGATCTTTGTCAACATTCCTATATAAACCAGATTGGATTTAAAATATTTCCATAATTAATTATTGCAGTTTAAGCTGCATTTCAAACCACAAGTGAAACAAACTGCAGCTAAAGGCAGAAGGGACATTACTGGGAAAAGACTGGGAAAAAAAGCATCTTAAACCCACACCCACCACATGTCCTAGTTACTACTGATTCACATCATGCCAAAGCTCAGCACCAGCACAGCCAAATGCCAAATGCCACAGCTCACAACAGTCTGACCCCACCACTCCATAAACCACTCTGAGTTCAGACAAAGACAATGTGAAATGATTGAGAAAACTTCACAGTTCACAGAGCATCTTCAAAGTCACACGCCCACAGTGTCCCCACCCAAAGCCCACTCCAGCCTACCTGGTGCTGTCTTCTGATGGAAAGGGATCTGAAAGGGCTTTCCTGCTTCCAGCATTTCGCTGACCTGCTCTCCCTCCCAAACAGGACATGGCCAGTAACTGCTGTGAACATCCAGGCAAGATGCCAGATGTTCCCCTCCTTCCGTCCTCCAGCTTACTAGCACTTCTTGCAGTTACCCCTGCTTACAACCAATATTTTCCTGATTTGCTCAGAGATGTCCTCCTCCCTCCAAGATGAGAAGTCCAAGGGTTTCCATCCTCTTGCTCTACTGCTTTGCTCAGTCACTCAGCCACTGGGGAAAGCAAAAATCAAGACCATGAGACTTGTATGCAACAGAACAGACAACTTGTTTGCCATAAGATGTGAAAGTACACCACAAAAGTTTGCTCTGACAATTCTTACGTTCAGCTCAAACAAATTCCTCTATGACCCTTTTTAATGGCATTTTTTCTTCTATTTCACTGATATTTCCAAATGCTCCAAAACAAACATAAGCATAAATAGCTTTCATCAGAAAGTATTCAGTCTGCTAATCTAGAAACACTGCTTGGGTATTTAATAAGGTAACTGCTTGTCTATAGTGCATCAAAATACTTAATTTCTTGAACAAAACTTTTTAATAATTATTAAAGTTTTAGCTTGTATTTAACTTCTTTTGAAAAGCTTTCTCAGTTTTTTCCTCTGATGTAGCATCACCCCATTGATTACACACCTCATGAAGAGCTGACAGGACGTGACACACTGCTTAGCTCTGTTCAGTGTATAATTCAAGATCATCTCTTTCCATCCTAAACTGATCTGTTTATTGTGGAACCACTCTGGGATACAAGCCTACTATCATATTGGTTATTTGGATAAGAAGGGGTTTTCTTGCCACATCTATCAGATGGAAATGGAGTGTTCCAAGATGCATTTGGTTTAGGCTATTGTGAAAATGGGATCCACTGTGAAGGCCACATGCAAGCTTAGTTTCTGAATGACTATAAAATTTTGTATACCCAGGCTGAAAGCACAAGTCCAAGTTTTATATAGAAGCTGCCTTCAGGTTAAATGAAATAAGAACTCCCAGGGAATGAAAGACTAGCTGATTTCCTTTATAAAACCTGAAAAGTCTTCGGGGAGACTTGGACTACACTTTCAACATCTAGAAATAACCTCCTCTTGCTCCCTTGTTTCCTATCTTCCACTTGCCCATTTCCCATTAAAGGTCGTTTCCAAACACAATTGATTTGAAAACTCAGATTATTCTGTTAAAATTGCTGACTGTGTACTTGGCACCCTGAGCCAGATTGGGACAATCCTCTCAGGTCCTTTTTCCAGCTAATTTATAGCAATTTTTGTTGAGACAAGAAGTTATGGTCTGTAAAAGGCTTGCTGTCAGCCTCTCATAACACCCCAGCACCCTGTCAGAGAAGGGACAGAGCCTGGGAAGAAAGTTTCGGCAATGATCAGCTGGTTTCCAGATGGGTGGCCTTCTACATGCTGTCCAACCCCATGGGTCCAATAAACCAGCCCTGATTTTGCACTTTAAAAAAACAAAGATACAAATCCTCCTCTACTCTCCAATAGGGTTTTATAAACATGGTCCCAGTCTCTATGTCAAATTTATTAGGAAGAAATTAATTCTGCTGTCTCTCTCTTTGCATGCATGTGGCCAGCCCCTTTTGCTCCAGTTTCTCATTTTTACATGGGTGGAGGGACTTGCATCATGATTTACACCCTTCTGGGTTGTTTTCCCATCAGAAATAAAGAAGGGGCTAAATAAGTCAGAAAGTTGAGGGATTGGCCTCCAAGGTATAAAACCACCCACATGAGGCAATGTTTGTTCTCAGTCTGGCATAAATTCTCCTCTTGTCTGTCCTCTCCACCTTAGCAAACCAGAAGAGCACATGATTCAAGAGGTACAAGGCTGATCAGCAGTGCCAGTAGTGAGAAAACAGCCCAGTTCTGAGTGGGAGAGCATCCTGCCCCTGGAACAGCACTGCCACTGTCCCAGTGCTGCTGCTCAGGGGCCTGGGTCTGCCTCAGCACCGAACCACAAATCACATCAAACCTGCACCTACAGACTTTCCGTTCCCTTCTAAGTACCAAAACCTGCACCAGCCTCTACACAACTATTTCTTCAGCTAATATGTCTGTTTACATGAATTGTTGCATGCATAATTTTTCATGTATTTAGCCCAGTTTCCCCTTTTACTTTCAGCTTACTACTCTTACTGGCATCACTTCAGCAGTGCAAAGATTCACACTCGGCATTGCCCTGAAAACAGCCAGAAATGCTGCTGTCACTCTTTTGCCTGGTAGGTGTCTCAGAGCCAATATTCAGGCTTTGGACTTTCCTCATAAACTGCAACTTCAAAGCCAATTTTATTTTTCTCTAAACTCAGTCCAAGAAGCATTAGTACTTCTACATAGGAACCATTAGGACTGTTCTCTCAACTGTCCCATCAAGATGATGACCCTGATTATAACATGCTCAGAGACTTCCAAAAAGAGCAAAAATAGAAAACATAATTGTAGGGGGAGACTGATGATCTTCACAAAGAGTGAGTAAATGTCATCTTTAATAAAGATGTCGTACTAAATTTTTAGGCATAATAAATGTCTGCTCACTAAAACTCATAATTATGGATGATTCTGGAATTTGAGCATATAGGCTTTTACTGAAGAAATTAGTAGAAACTATGCTAAGGAACAGAATTAATTGTAAATACGTGATAATGATAGCACCGATGCCTTAGAGCTCCCTGAAGGATTCACTGTGTGTATCGGTAAGAATGAGCCAGCTGACACTGTGTAAATATATTCTTTTTTTTAAAAGAACCCACCTTTCATGAAGGTCCCTTACAAAAGTTTCATACTGGTGTGAGAATGAGACAATTGATAACCCCGTCATTTCTCTGATCTATCTATTAGAAGAAAAATCCAGATTTGCTTGCTGTGACTTACAGCTCCCTGAAGGCTTTGACCAGCTTCCCACAGACTTTGCCATTGCCAGGATTTCATTCTCAGATATGCTAAACCTTAAAGAAAAACATGTCCCACAAACAATTACAGCATTTTTCATCAACAAAAATCTCATTAACCTCAGCAGCACAGATAATATTTGTTAGAACAATGAATTTTCAGAGGGAGCCTACACAAATTTCATGGAGTAGGATCAGGGTTATTATTACTTTTTTAGAGGTATAAAGTTCTCTCATTAGGTGCACTGAAAACCAGAGTAAAGAAAGAATGCTTCACATCCACTATTAATAAGCTTTCACTGCTGAGGCTCAGCCACAAAAAGTTAATATCAATATTTCCCGTGAAGCTCTGCCCATCTGCAGCATTTGGCACTGATTTTAAAATACAGTAGACTTGAGTTTTCCAGGGAGCAGCCATCATTCCTGTGCTCCCTCTAGAGTGACTACTGGAAGCCAAAAGCATTTAAGCAAAGTTAGATAAAATCAGCAGTGCCCAATGTGGGTTCTTTCTGGTTTCCTGCAAGTAAACAGACATGTTTACAAGGGGCTGTACATTCACATCAATCATAAGGTGACTTTGTTTACAGTAGAGGAATTTCCTGCAGGCTTTTGCTGTCCTGGTTTCTTTCTCTTTGTATTTACTTTTGTTCAAATGCAATTTAAAAAAGCCATAGGTACTCCAGCTCAATTCAAAACGTGACACACTGAAATCTGAAGCAGGCTATAATTCATGCCCAGATTTAGTTGTTCTTTTTCTTGTTTGTTTGTTTAAGCTAACACACGCCTCTGCATTAAAAAGCCACTTTTCTCTACCCATCCAATTCATCTGCACCTGGAAAAAGGCAGATTTAATTTATCACTCCATTAAGAACTGCTTTTCTCATCAAACCTACAAAACAGTAGAAGGCCACCTTATATAGGGATCGGGTTTATAATTCAGGCATCCAGGAGACAGATTTCTCAGAGGAATTAAAGTAAAAATGTTAGTGAATGCAACTGAAAGACTGGTGTTAATAGCACCTGAGCAGCTAGGATTAAGGACTTCTGCTGCCATGAATCAGAGTGAACTATTTCTCCACCACTTCACTGAATAAAAATTTATTTCAGTGGGGATTTAATTTGAAGAAACACTACAGAATTTGGCTGCAAAGATCAGAACTTGGACAGGGAACCATGTTGGTGATTTTGAGATACACAGACACTTTTGATAAAAAGTCATGAACCTTTGTTCACTCTGCTTAAGCTACTGGATGCAGATAGGAAAAGACTGCAACAGCTGGGCAGACATCACACCTACTATGATGGCGCAGATCCTACAGCTGCTCCATCAGCCCCCTGAAGTGATGTGCTCACTCTGCCTGTTTGCTCTCCATTCTGCTGCATGGTTCAACCACACTTTAGGTCACTCTGAATTATTAGCCCTGAGTGCAAGCGTGCACCAAGAGGTCAAACACAGGAAGGGCCAGGAAAGAACACTCCTTTAATACACAGCCTTTAGGAGGCAAAGCACATCTAACCCCCAAAGGCTACAAAAGAGAGATGCACAAGAATATGAAGAGCAGAGCCAGAGATTTGCCAAGAAGGAAGTAGTTTGGTGTTTATGAGTGGCAGAAGAGGGAAGTAGCCCCCCTGTTTGCTACTGAGAGGCTCAGTTGCACAAATAGGAGCCCACATGAATATAAGACTTCTGGAATTTCTTTTCAGTAGTTTCCAATGCACAAGCCATGATTCAGTATAAAAACCAGCCTAGTACAGTTTCTCTTTGTTAGCATCTGTTAGCAAGAATGTCAGCTAATCAATACATTTTTATTGACAGATACCTACAGGGCTGGAATAGACACTATTTCTGACATTATGTTCAGTGTTCTTCTTACACCTAATTTTCCTGGAAGCTGTTTTCCTTCACCTTGTGTGGCATCATTATTCATCTTCACCGATGCTTATCTACCTCCACAAATTTGCAAAAGGCCATTCAGGGAGCTGAGTCCCTCTGGACAGGTTACCAAACTCATGCAGCTAACAGTCTCTTCCTCACCACTTCATGCTTTCAGACGGTGACCTGCACTTGGGCTGGGTTTTGGTTCTTCATGGTGCTGGGAACCCTTTGTAGTTGACTTGCAATGTCCCCACGGAGCAGTTTCCCTGCTGTAGGTGACAAGAGGCAACAGCCAGGACTTGGCAATACACAAAAAAAAAATCTTCCCAAAGCTGTAATCCAATTTACAAGCAGCTCCTCTTACCACATTTGTGTGTCACAGGTGAATAGAGCCATGAGCTATATCTGTTAGCAGCTCCTGCTGCAACCAGACTTCTGCAGAACTATTTG